AGAACGGATCAGAAACTTGGCGGGCGGGATGGTCACAAAGAATATTTCCAACAGCCTGTTGCAGACCTTCATTAACAACTGTCTTCGCTGGCTACATAGTGAAGATCAGATGGCCGGGCCGGAAAGAATCATCAACAGGAAACTGTGGGAAGAAACAAAACAAGAACCAACCGCCAGCCTACAAATATGCAGGAGAAAGTGGAGATGGATTGGGTATTCGCTTAGGAGGTCTCTGGGTGACATCGCGCGTGCGCGCCAAGCCATTGCTCGAAAGGAACCCGACAGAATGGGAAGCGGCGAGTGGGACGTCAGTGCAAGGGTGACATGGAGGAGATCGTGTGAAGAGGAGTTGAAACAGTACGGACTAACCTGGATGCACGTGAAAAGTACGACAGAAGACTGAAATGGCAAGTGGAGACGTACATTTGAAGCCCTATGTTCCACTAGGAACCCAAGGGAACAATAATATAATAATAATATGCAGTATCAAGACTACAAATGATCATCTATGGGAATTTCCAAAACATTATTTTTATTTATATAATGCCTTCTATACGCATATCAAATATGTCAGCTTGGATCATTAACTAAGCACTAAAATGTTAGCTTACATATTGATAATTCCAATCACTCACTCACTCACTCACTCACTCTGTCTATTTATCTGTCTACGTCTGCTTGCATACAGTGAAATTTGACACTCACATTTTTCTGTGTACAGCTAAACAGCACGCTTTTTTGTCAAACAGAACACTTAAACTCTTATGTTATTGATTTAAACAATATGTGAGGACTGAGAAAAAAGGTAGGATATCATAAATCAGTCAGTCATGTATTCTATTTTGTTTGGCGAAATACTTTCCATATACAAAGGGAGAAAGAAGTCAGCTGTAATTATGAGAAATATACTTCTCAAGGTTGTCTGGATTTCTGCCTTTTTCAATTAGAAGAAATATGAAGGCTCAAACATTATTCCTCCCTTTCTTTTTTCGTTCATGTTCCCCAGTGGAACATAGTGTAACAACAGAAGACAAGGGCCAGGCAACAGATCGTTTTATTATAAAAATCAACACGTATTTATATATATTTCACATACATTATTATAGCTTATGCAAGTAGAAAAGCGTAGTCATCTGATTGGTTGCAGACAAACGCAGGCTTCTGATTGGTTGTTTCGGGATTCCTCGACAAATAGAGTTCTCTATCTGCGAATCATATTTTGCTACGTTAACTTTGCTGTGATTGGTTGTTGAATCAGCCTTGTTCATATTTTCTCACGGCCCATATTAGTGACCTAGACATTAACGTAGATTAGTGTCAACCAATCGGCTAGCAGCCTGCTCTCACCACAATAGGGCCTCAAGCTAGTGACTTGAAGTTTCTGTAGCAGTGTTTGTTTTACAGGATGCGGTTGCTAGCCTCATGCTCAACCTTTCCTCTTGACCAGCATTATTTCTGGCATAGCGAGGTAAAGGAGTGCGTCCATAGCCGGGGATTGAACCCCGGACCATGTGCATGGTCGGCGAGCGTCCTAACCGCTAAGTCACCGACGCTTATCCCCCTTTAATATAGTGTAATTTTGCTTGTCTCTCGTTTCTATGGTTTCAGTTGAACTCAGTACATTGTTACCTAATTTATTAGTCACTCGTCATCTTACGCACCTCTGGTCTTTGTTACGTAACTCCTCTGTAATTTATGAATACATTTACTTTGAGCTTGAACTACCTGTTTAAAAAACTATATGAGCGTAATTTTGAGAGCATTGTTCAGACAGTCCAGAACCTCATGTCGTCAGTGTTATGATGCTTGATCTTTGTCTCGAGGTAACTGCTTCACTACTGACCAGTGCCCACTTAACTGGTAAAGCAGAACACGCGATAATCCGCGGTAAAACCAGAATCATTTATTTATGACAAAAGTGACTGTATTTATACAAAAATAAGGTAGACTGGAAATCAACCAATCCGGTTGAGAGTTTGGAATTGTGCAAGCGTCCAATCAGAAAGCAGAAACAAATGCATGTCAACGACACGCTAATAACTTGATAATAGCATGTGTTTTGCCTCTTCCTAACAGTCAGCTGATATCATTTATAATTTGCAAATCGTAAGCGGCTGATGAGGAGCCAACGAGATAAATGATGCTACTATATTCTGCAAAAGCTATTGTTCTTGCTTTATTCAAAAAAAATATGCACTCATAAATATTCTGGCAGTTTAATGATCAAGTTATCGCATTGAAAAGATAAGTAGATCATGCCATACTCCGTATTATGAACGTAAGGATAATGGCAGCTTGACAGTTGAACAAAAAATGATTATTGGTTCCGAGTGGAACACATAAGGCGCCAACAGCACATCCACGCTTCATGTGGTTTGCTGCAGTCTTCACGACTTTTCATAAGCCTTCATAGCCTTCTCTCCCTCTCTCTCTCTGCCTGACTGGCAAACATTAACTCTTAATGTGAGGGGTGTACAACTACTACTCACGTCAATCAATCAGTAGTATGTTATACCAAGATCAATAAATGCAATTTTTAGAATAAACCTATTACTATCATTATATATATATATATATATATATCCAAACCAAGTTCACTTTTAACAGTTTGGAAAAATTTTGGCATTGGGTGTATGATATTCATTATAATAAAGGTCTTCCTGTAATTCCCAATGAATGAAAAACAAAAGGATATTATTGTTGTGTTTACTGACGTTTCGCTATTTAATGCTGCTGCTAATAGCTTTATCAAAGTATTATTAAACCGGAATTAACAAAATCCACTCAGCCTATATATAACAAAGAGTTAAGGGGTGAGAAAATAGACTTAGGTCAAGTTAAAAGGACATATTGAAAGTCAAAATAGCAATGAAGATCACTAAACTGAATATCAAAGGTACATTTGTTATGATATCAAAACAAAGTTTACTAACTTGATCATCGTTCGTTAGTCTGGGGTCTTTATTTTGTTGTCAAGTTGGTAAATTGGTAAAGATAACAAAACCGGGTGTAGATTGTTGGATTCGATCAGTGTGTAAAATTGTAAAAGTAGTGTGTGTTTACATAGTGAACTTGCTTATCACATTTGTGTTGATTTTGTCACTTCATGGGGGAGGGAGATGTTGTAACCAGGTCAGATTCTGTTTTAGTCCATCGTTCCTATTCAGAAAATTGGGATTCCACTTGATATGAAGTGCTTCTGATATTAGACGTTCTTTGTGATTTCTGAAATGTTTTTCTGGATTATTTCAATATTGTCAAAATCAATTTTGTGGCCTGATTCTATAGCGTGTCGACCACCTATGACTGATGATTTTTCAAGTTTTTCTAGTTCAGCTGGATTTCTCGGTGGTCGAAGAGACGCTTTAATGTGTTCACTTCTTCTGATTTCGATTTCCCGAGATATTTGTCCGTTGTACATCGCATCACATTTCAAGCAGATTTTATTTTATACACACAATTAGATAGAGAATCTTTCGGGATTTGGTCTTTTATATGGACAAGGTTGTTTCGTAGTGTTTCTGATGTTTTGAAGAAAACTCTAATGGCGAGCTGATTGAGTACTCTTCTCATATCGTCTGACCTCTTTGATCTATATGGAATGATGACTGTTGAGGTCCATGTTTTCGGAATGCATTTTCGGCCATACTTAATGTCTGTGTTGATTTTGTTGATGAAGTTCCTTGGGTAGTTGTTTTGTTTGAGAGTTTCATTAGGGTTTGATATTTCTTCTTTTTTTCCCTTCTCATCCGTTATATCAAAAAGTGTGCTCGTCTAAAAGACTTGAAATAACTGAAATCTTTACGCTGATGGGGTGTGATGATTTGAAGTCTAAATATTTGTTGAAGTGGGTTTTCTTCATGAATAAATAGATATACTAAAATGTCCGTTTTCCTTTCTCTTAACTAGGCAGTCTAGAAATGGTAGTTCACCGACGTCTGATTCTGCTTCCGAAGTGAACTGAATTCTTGGGGATACACATTTTATTTTCTCCAGGAATAAATTGTGTAGATCTCGTTTTACTACTACAAAAGTATTATCCACATATCTTAACCATATTTTAGGAGTGAGCATGCTTGAAAAGATGTTATTTTCGAATTTATTCATGTAAAGATCGGCGACTATTGGGGAACTGGTGAACCCATAGCAACACCATTCGTTGTCTGTCTTCAATAAACTCCCTTTACATGTAAAATAATTACTTTCCAGGCAGAATTTTAAGCTCTTAATTATATCACTGGTGCGTGTCCAGTTGACATCTTTGTGATAGTATTGTATCTGATTCTAGTGGACTGGAAACGAATCAGTAGTATGTCACACTAAATGCCTTTTATAAAATTCATAGTAACAAACTATAACTGGTCTTGTGAATGAAAGTGTATTTATCTACGTTCATCGGTTTTTAGCCTCTTCACTCCACCTTAGGTTTCACAAGGACAGAGTAAAATAATCCTTGCATACTATTGATTCTGAAACCACTTCTGGGTTGCTTACCATTCAGGCAAGATCTATTATAGGCTTAAATGATTATATTAAACAAATGCGCTGCGTCCTTTCAGATGAAATTAAGTCAGATTTATCTAAATTCTCTTATGAAAGTCACATATATGGCATAAATAACACCAAACTAAAATGAATCTGATTAACACTTGCATGTATTTTAGCCTCAACCACTGAAAATCTCTAAAATCTAACAGAAGTTATCTCACTTCAGAAAGAAGTAGTAGATATTCAAGCGAATTAATGGGTCTACAAGGTGTCGATACACCAATATCACAATGAAAGTAATACTCCTTTATCAACCTTATTTTCACTTGAATCTTCAGACTTGGAAATTCGGTGCTTTGTTTTAAGCTACTGAAAACGTGTTTAAGTAGTTTAAATCATCTTGAAACATTTCAAAAAAAAATGGAATACTGGCTTAAATGAGGCAAGTAATTTCTGAATTATTATTATTATTAATAAAATCATAAGAATTGTCAGAAAATATTCAATCTTACCACATATATAGCAACACAAATGCCAATAATCCAACCGGCTAAAACATCTTCAAACCAGTTGTTTCTGTACACTACCCTGTTGATACCAAGCAGGAGAGCGACTAAACTGACACCAAGCAATGATAGAAATGGGATACACAAACATGCATCACGGAAATTTTTCATCAGTGCAGTCACATAAACCTAAGAAAAGAAAAGGGAATTTAGAGAACGAAGGATGAAAGGTCAATCAGTTTGGTGGTAAATATAGTAGTCCCTTCTCAATGTTTCAAGTATCTACGACTGATGAGAATTTACGGAAAATTTACGTATTCGCTTGCTTAAATTGTGTTCCAATAATAATTTATTTGTTGGATATATGCCACAATGGGGCAGTATGATTTACAGGATGAAGTTTCTAGCTCAACTAGTTGTTTGTAATCATATCAGTGGTAACTACACGCTTTTGAAACTTTGTTGTTCTTTTCCTTCCTTCCTTCCTAAGTTCAAAGGTGATTTAATTTTCCAGATGTCGCGGATAGGTGTTCAGTGATTTCTGTTGTGCATATCCTCAGTTGTTTCGGTAAATAAAGCGCGAGTGACCATAAACTGACTTGTTTTCTCACCACGCAATCTGAAAACATATTCAAGTTCGTTCACGGAGTGTTATTTGTTAGAGATTCCTTGAAAACCAGTGGGATGGATTGAACAGTCCTATTTTAAGACTCTCCAGAAGCAACAGCCTACCGAGACTCGAACCCATGAGTTCAATGGCTGGTGTTACGCTAAAATTACGAATTGCTAGAAGTTGGAATTCATCGAGCACTGAAATGTTTGCGAACTTGCCTTGTAACCGGAGGGGCCTGGGTTCAAATCCTAGTGAGTGCATACTGATAAAGAGCCCAAAATAGGACAAAATAACTCTATCAGTACTCGCTGCTAGTCATCCTCTAACTGATATCAGCTCGTGATCAAACTTTAAATGGGTGGATGATAATAAATACATTCCTGAAAATATATTCACTGGTAGATCTCGCAAAATAATTAAAAGTAAACGATAACTTACTGTGACAAAAATGATTGCATACATTGAAACAGATGCTCCCAGTGAAGGAAATGATGTTCTGAAAATAGGTGCAAATAAGGCAGTGAATTAATGAAAATCTTCCTACAGGATAACATCGAGCATGAAAGAATTTATACATATACCATATATTTTTTTAAATTTTTGATTACAGCTTTATTCCACACCGTATTTTTTGGTACAAGTATAGAATTTTTAGCATGTGAGATCAGTAGCCCAAATTTTGCAGGCTGAACATAGGTATCAGGTGTATGTTGGCAGGAGATCAAACTCCGGACCATGTGGATCATCGGCGATAGTTCTAACTGCTGTGCGTCAGTGGCACGGCAGAGACTGAACTGATTTTCCAGGTCAACGGTTACTTTTCCTGGTTGAACAGCGCCTAAGAAACTATTTAAAATACACATTAATCTAAATAAGGTCATGTAATTTTACTCAGTTAGCTGGAAGCATCGTTTCTACAACCCAGTTGATGTAGTTGAGGATGTCAAAGTCAGCGAGGATCGTGTCGGGATAGACGTACACTACTCGACAATCAGTGTGGAAATCTGGTGAATTAAGCAATAAGGAACAAAGTCTGAATTTTCAACGCCACTGTTAAGTCAGTCTAGGCTTCTGTACAGTTGAGAGACTTACTGTGTGATGGAGAGTATTTCCAACAGATTACTGCAGAATTTTATCCACGGTTGCCCCCCCCTCTCTTCTCTGGTTCGATATACTAAAGATCAGATAACCAGTAGCGGTGGTGTTTTTTTCTATGGGATGGGGTTTTTAACCTCACGTCCAACCTACCCCAATTTACTGGGCTTAATACTGACTAAGCAAAGTTTGTGAATGCATTTACCAGGGATGGGAAAACAGAAAACCACATAGACGTGATCAGTAATCATTATAACTAGTCGATACACACATCACAGAAGTCTGTAATGCAACTTAACATTAATCACAATCGAAAACCCAAAAACTTGACAGAACAGGCAACAAATACAAGACTCCATGAGAACATGGATAAGACAAAAGTGATAACTATACCCGAAGAACATCAACAAGCTATAACGGTCGCCAATCGGAGAAATTTAAAGAAAGTCGTCTTCTTCAACTAACTTACATCAGCAGCATTATTTTAACTACAGGTGGCACAGATGACTATGTCAAAACCAACCAGCCAACAGAGATCAGAAAAGCGAAAAAGTTGTTTATTACTCTAACAGCGCTATGGAGATTTTGCAACAGTCATCATAATGAAAAAGGTCTAAATTGTCATCTGTAATGTCAAGTCAGTCAGAGCTTCTATATGGTTCAGAGACTTGAAACGTGTACCACCAGAAGCACAGACTTCCACCAACAGATGCCAACCAGATGACAAAGGCACAACACAACTCTGGAGTTAATCCCATAAGAGCCTATTTCTCAACAAATATGCAAAAGGAATTGGAAATGGACTGGACTTACATACTAAAGACACTGTTGAGTGACATCAAGTGATAGGTATAACTTCAAGTGGAATTTGAATGAGGAACAAAGAGTCAGGCGACTTGAAGGCGACCATATGAGGAGGAAATGAAGACTTATGAGGAAATGTACGGCCAAACTAGGAAGGACTGCATTGGAGATAATGAAATGGAGAAGTGCAAATGTAGTCCTATTTTTCGCTAGAAATCAATGAAACAATGCAACGATTTCAGTAATAAAAGCGTTTACTACTCATAAGTAGGTAAAAAATAAAACTATAAATAATGTTAGACATTCTAAATGTATGTTTACTTAATGGGAATTAATAATGCCATATTAGTAAAATGACAAAATAAACGCTAAGTTCGGGTATGAAAATATGGTAGGGTAAACAGGGATTAAGAAAAACCTAAAATAACATGAATAAACAGGAAGTTTAGATAAGAAAGGAGATGGGATGGTCATTACTAAAAATTACCTGTTTATGATGGCCATGGCAAGGACAGGAGTTGGACGTATTTCTTTCCTTCCTGTTTATTCATGTTATTTCAAGTTTTTCTTAATCCCTGTTTACACTACCATATTTTCATACCCGAACTTAGTGTTTATTTTGTCATCTTACTATTTCTACATATTTAATCCCTGATTGCATAAACAATTATTCATCACATTAGTTTTTATCCAATGCCATATTACTTTAAAATTGGTACAGAAGGAGATGAATGTCCATTTCCAGTAGAGTCATGTTTCATGATGTATCCAAATAAATCTTCTCTCATGGGTCCTAAGTGGAACACAGGACTCCAACAGCACATCTCCTTTCACCCTCTTCTCTGTAGTCCCCTTAACTTGGCTCTACGGTCACTCATGATGCATCGGTGGCACAGCGATAGAGTGCTCACCAACGACGCAGATGGTTCAAAGTTCAATCCCCGGCTGACTCACCCCTTTACCTCTCCAAGCCACAATAGACTAGTAAAGAGAGAAAGTCAGGCATACAAGGTTAACAACCCTATCCCGTAAAAATGAATACCACTGCAACCAAAACTTCCAGACTCTGGCATGAAGCCCATGTTCCACGGGATACTGAAAAAATAAAAAATGATTGCTCATAAGCCTTCATTTCCCCCTCCTCACAATCTGATCTTCCATATGTCACCATATAAGCGACGTCCGGTTCTTCATTTCTTATTCGTTTTCTACTCAAGGCACTAGCACGAGATATCACTCAACTCAGTATTATTGCTCTGTAAACATGCAAAGAGAAATGGAGACAGAGTGAGCGTAACTTATCTCAGAATAGGAAGAGCTTGAGAATTTTAGAATTCTATAGTCCAGTTTTTCACATACAGTACCAAGGTTTCTGCATATTGGTAACTGTAGAGATAAAGGTACGGCTGTCAGTGACCAATACCAACGTTTATAAAAAGGTTTCTTCCCTCTCAGTACTGTTATAATTACTCACTATTGTTAAAGTTTGACATTTGCCTTCTTGCATCATTTTTACGATAGTTACTTGTGAAAGAATTCATGGGACTATTGTCATTATTAGAACCCACCCTATTTCCTTCTCCAGCTCTTCTGAACATCATAAAGAAGTCAACATTATTTCATGAATACCTATAATTGTAACATAGAAGAATTGAACTGTTTTATTTGCGCCCTAAATAATTCTTTCGACAGTGAGTTTTATGACAGAATGACATTTATCACATACATAATGATAATATTGTGAATATGAAAAACGATTTATCAGTGATATTCAAGTGACGGTTTGTAGAGATTTGATTGGTCACATGATTTCATCATGAGCTGACATCGGTTAGAGAACAATTGGCAAACCCACCGGGAGTACTGGACAGATGTTTCGTCAGCCTAGTTTGGGACTCTTCATCAGTACACACCCATCACAGGCAGTTCGAACCCAGGACCTTCTGGTTACAAGTCTGGCGAGCTCGTAGACCGTTAAGCAGCCACTGGGACCCGATCCAATGGCCAGTTCATGAATTCTAACTTCTGCCAATTCACGACATAGTGTGACCCTTAGCCAATGTTTTAGGCAATTTATCAGTGATTCGTATATTGATATAAACTACCTCATACATATTAATATGCTCATTTTCATATTTCTGAGTGAAACAAGGCAGTAGACTAGAAAGAAAATCAGCGAGTGAGTAATTAAGCGAGAAAATGAGCAGTCAAGTGCAAACGTGAGTGAGTACATGAGAAAGTAAGTGAGCAAGTGGGTGGATGAACAACTGAGTTAGTAATTAAGTAATTAAGTGACGAAGTGAATAATTTAGCGAGTGATTGAGTAAGAGGGTAAACAGATGAGTAACTCGGTATGTAAGTAGGTAAATGAGTAAGTGAGTAGGCGAGTGAGCAAATAAATAAGTAGGCTAGTGAGTAACTGAGTACATCAGCTAATGAGTGATTAATTAATTAAATATGTGAGTAAATATATGAGTAAGCGAATGATAAAGCAGTTAATTACATAGATAACTAAATACCCATTAGCAAGGAATAAATATGTAACATATGACCCAATCCAGGTTAGTTCATCAGAATCATTATTGTATTATTATTTATTATTGTTCCCTTAGGTTCCTAGTGGAACATAGGGCTTCAACTGCACGTCTCTACTTGCCACTTCTGTCTTCTTCTGTTGTGCTTTTCACTTAAATCCATGTTAGTCCATACTGTTTATCAACTCCTCTTCACACGATCTCCTCCATGTCACCCTTGCATTGACGTCCCACTCGCCCCTTCCCATTCTATCGTGTTCCACTCGAGCGATGACCTGACGCGCGTGCGATGTGACCCAGTGGCCTCCTCAGCTAGTGTCCACTGAATGCCTCCACTTTCTCCTCCATATTTGTCAAGCGGCGATTGGTTCTTATTTTGTATGGTTTGTTCCCATAGTTTGTTCTTTTTGGTGATTCTTTCCGGACCGGTCATCTGATCTTCAGTATAGAGCGAAGACAGTTAGCTGTTGATAAAGGTCTGCAATAGCCTGTTGGAAATATTCTTTGTGACCCGCCCGCCAAGTTTCTGATCTGGATAGAAGAACTGACTGACTTGACGTTGTTTCTATTGCAAATCCGACTGAATTTTGTTGTTGATGCTGAGTTGAGTGACGAAGATTTCCAGATTGGTTTTAGGTTGATGTGAATGTGTTCCTCGCTCGCCTTCCTGATTCTCGCTCGATTTGACATCCTCGTCCGTTCCGACTGCGTGTAGTTAAGACAATGCTCCCTAGATAAGTGAAGTGAATGAAGTAACCTCTTTCAAATCCCTCCTGTTGTTGATGGTGATTGACTCTGGATGTTGCTGCTGCTGTTGTTGTTGGTTGGTTATTTTCATCACCTCCGTCTTGTCTATGTTTACCTGGAGTCCTGTCTTCGCCGGCTGCTTCTTCGACCAGTTTGTCGGTTTTCGCTTGTAAGGCTTCGATTTTGTGTGACATGAAACATAAATCAGAATCATTAGTCATCAATATTTAGTATTTAAAAGCAACCGGTGCAACCTAAAGCGGTTAAAAATATCCGGAAATCATACAAATAAGAATTAAAATAACAATTAAATTTTATGGCACAAGTGACGGATAAAACGACCGGGAAAAAACACTATGTCGTTCGTTAATAAGTCAGCCATCTTAGACTGTTCAAGATGAATAAAGCCAGGTCTCAAACAACTGGGAAATCATTATATGTAAGGAAGTAAGAATTCTATTTAGCTAGAAAACAGAAGTTTGATATCGATCCAGCTTATGATTCCCTTCTAACTCCCACGCCTTAATGTTAATATAAGAGGAGTTTGATTTGCTCAATTAACGTATAAAGTACCATAATCAGCTTCCCGAAAAAAGTCAATAAGATGACTAAACCTAATACAACTTTGTCATAAAGCCCACTTGCTTCCCAGTCAGAGGATTTTTCTTCATGAATATGAATAAAGTGGGTAAAAATATGGGTAGAGATACGTTCAGTATACTGGTAAAATGCGGATATATTAGATATTTCTGGAAATGATATGGGTGACATGGGAAAACATAAAGATTATTCAAGTGTTGGTTTGTAGGGATTTGGTTGATTAGTTACAGGATTTCATCATGAGCTATTATTGGTTAGAGAACCATTGGAAAACCCACCAGGGAGTACTGGACAGCCGGCTGTTTCACCAGCCTAGTTTGAGACTCTTCACCAGTACGCACCCACCCCAGGGAGTTCGAACCCAGGACCTTCTGGTTACAAGGCTGGCGAGCTCGTAGACTATTAAGCCACTGGGGTTCTAGTGAGAAGTCGTGACCAGTAGAGTGCAGCAGGTCGTGTGCCGAAAACATTGGCTAGGGGTCGCGCTATCTCGTGAATTGGATGAAGTTAGAATTCATGGACTGACCATTGGATCGAAACCCAGTGGCTGCTAAATGGTCTACGAGCTCGCTAGCCTTGTAACCAGAAGGTCCTGGATTCTAACAGCCTGTGATGAGTGTGTACTGATGAAGAGTCCCAAACTAGGCTGGTGAAACAGCTGGCCAGTACTCCCTGTTAGTTTTCCAATGGTTCTCTAACCGATGTCAGCTCATGATGAAATCCTCTAACTTGAATAGTATTGTTTGATCACATCAGGAAGGTGGTAAAAAAAGGGAATTTGTTTGTTGAAAACGTATGGGAAAAGAGAAACAAACGTGGATATTTTATGTTGTAATTTACCCACATCTAATTCGAATGAAACTTCCCAGTTTATTCACTTTATTCGGTAACATTCTCCTAATCTAAGGAAAGTGTGGTTATTGGCAACTCCAAAGGAATCACTTTCATCTTTGTTAATCCAACAGGCATTAGATAGTGCTACTTTCCTCTATTCTATGCAACTGAATTATTTGTGTTTACACATGACTTCGTTAAGACTGCTATGATTACGTTGGTTTCGTACTGTGGAGTAAGTGAAGCCCTGTATCTAGTCTTTATTCGTAATGATTTAATTCTATCAATCAATATATTGTAACAACAGAAGACAAGGGCCAGGCAACAGATCGTTTTATTATAAAAATCAACACGTATTTATATATATTTCACATATATTATTATAGCTTATGCAAGTAGAAAAAGCGCAGTCATCTGATTGGTTGCAGACAAACGCAGGCTTCTGATTGGTTGTTTCGGGATTCCTTGACAAATAGAGTTCTCTATCTGCGAATCATATTTTGCCACGTTAACTTTGCTGTGATTGGTTGTTGAATCAGCCTTGTTCATATTTTCTCACGGCCCATATTAGTGACCTAGACATTAACGTAGATTAGTGTCAACCAATCGGCTAGCAGCCTGCTCTCACCACAATATTACTACTTAGTGTAAAAGAAATTCCAGTAAAAATGATTATCACTCTGTTCCATAAAATAATACTCCTTCGCTCTGTCTCCCTGTCTGACCTTTGAACACGAAGTAAATTGGAAACTACTTCGATACAACAGAGTATAACAACACGAATCTTTGATATAAGAATAAAACTTGTGCACTCTGGTAGAGTGTAATTCTATCATGAGTAAATTTTATTTTGATAAAGTCTCACAGTGCTGTTATACAGTAATGTTTACTGATGCAACCACTTTCGAGCACAATTTATTACTGCCACTCATAATCATAACAAGGTAATCACACGACTTCCTAACTTCGTTTATATAGTTCCATTGTTTTTATCACTTGATTTGATTGGCAGTAGTATTTTCCATATTTCAGGTATGAGTGATGAATCATTCCTATTGCATGTGTTGGGTGTGTAGACTCGATAAACAAGGATTCAGTAATCAACCTCTCTCGCTCTCCACGTTACCAATTACTTTTTTAGAATTTTAACCTTCTCCCGCCATGCTATTGTGTGGTTGTGTGTTAGCACATGCATTTCAATTGCTGAGCGTTTTTCTAAATTACTTATCTTCTCCGGGTCAAGCATTCTTACCATAGCTAAATTTTTATATTCCATATAATGAGAGGACTTCTAAGGCCCTACGTAGGATTCTCAACAAAGCAAGAACTAGGATGGCATTCAAACCTACAAATTTACTCAGGTAGGACAAGCTCTGTGGGCTAAAAGACCTGGTGAACCCAGTCAAACAAAATAATATAAATAACAAAATACCCTGCAATGACTGTGAGGTCAACTACATAGGTCAAACTGGCAGATCGGGGTAATCAAACTGTTGGAACATAAGAATTTAGCTATGAGAAGAATGCTTGACCCGGAGAAGATAAGTAATTTAGAAAAAACCTCAGCAACTGAAATGCATGCATTAACACACAACCACACAATAGCATGGCGGGAGAAGGTTAAAATTCTAAAAAAGTAATCTGGTAAGGTGGAGAGCGAGAGAGGTTGATTACTGAATCCTCGTTTATCGAGTCTACACACCCAACACATGCAATAGGAATGATTCATCACCAACACCAGAAATATGGAAAATACTACTGCCAATCAAATCAAGTGATAAAAACAATGGAACTATATAAATGAAGTTAGGAAGTCGTATGATTACCTTGTTATGATGAGTGGCAGTAATAAATTGTGCTCAAAAGTGGTTGCATCAGTAAACATTACTGTATAACAGCACTGTGAGACTTTATCAAAATAAAATTTACCCATAATGGAAGGCGAATCATTATCAACCCTATTTAACGTCTATATGACAATGCCACATTACAAGTGATCCAAAACGGAAAACTCAGTGATCTGTTGGAATTGACTAACTACATGAGTAATACAAGGCTGCTTGTTATCACCAATCATGGCATTCTTAATTGTGATGGACTGGATTTACGCGTCAGACTGTGTGGACAGGGAGTGAGAACATAGGAGTACGCTGCACTGACCGATAAGAAGACTCAGAAAATCTGGATTTCGCGTGTGGTTGATTCACGTTTCATGTCAGACGAACTCAAAGACCTACAGGCGAAAATCAACAAACAAGGTAGAATAAGAAGCAGCAGGCAAAGACAGGATATAAAGACGAAAGTGATGAAGATTACTAACCAATCAGCAAGAAAAGAACAACAAACACCAGTCACCAAGAGCGGGAGAAATTCGAAAGAGGTTACTTCCTTCCCTTGGCTTATCCAACCAGGCGACGGAATGGATGAAGATGTCAAAGCTAAAACTGGAAAGGCAAGATACATACACCCTAATCACTCTGAAATCGGTTTGGAAAGCTTCTGTACTCGGGTTTTCAACATCAATCTTAATTTAGTCGGTCATTGCTTCTATACAGGTGAGAAAATCGGCATACGCCTCACGGAAAGCATTTCGAACAGGTCGCTGAAGATTATTATCAGCAAATGTCTCCGCTGGCTTCATACTGAAAATCAGATGGCCAGAAAGAATCGGCGACAAGAAACCCTAGGAACAAACCAACCCGGAACTTATTCATCAACAGAAAATGGATTGGGAACATTGTGAGGAGACCGTCGAATGACTTTGTACCCGAAAGGGAAACGAAGAGTTGGACATGAGTCCATGGGTGATATGGAGGATATCGTGTGTCAGTGGGGAGGAGGCGAGAGATTATAGGCAATCAATCGTTCAGTCAGCTGAAGAGGACAGCAGAAAGTGAAAGAAAGTAGAGATATGTTGTTGAAGCCCTATATTCCACTTGGAACCCAAAGGAATAATAACAATGATAATAATGAATAATGATAATCTCTCTTACCTCGCCTCCTTAAGCTTTAAAATATTATTCTCCATACAATCAGCATTAGTTAACAATCCATCAGGTATTTGGCCATCAGTCGATTCTGGTGAAGGTGTTGTAGCCACCGTGACTAAATATTTTCCTTGTTTAGCCAATTGAGCAACAATTATATCTAATAGTCTTGGATCTGATTCGATACCACCACGTTCATCTGCAGATTGACGTGTTTTTTGAATTAGCCCATACCATTTTGGACAGACATTAGCTGATGGACGACAGATTTGAATGAAATCCGGACGAAGACGTCCAATTGAGACTTTGATTAACCAAACCAGCAGCATTGTTACCAGAAGACCAAATATGTATGTCACTAGGAATAGAAATTTAAAAAAAAACAGGTAATATGAGACCTTTTAAAGAGCTTAATAATAAATAATTTGTCCTTCACGTTCCTAGTGGAACATAGGGCTTCAAGCTAGTGGTAGTGTTTTATTTTTACAGGATGGGGTTGCTAGCCTCATGCCCAACCTTTTCTCTTTACCAGGATTATTTATGGCTTAGCCAGGTAAAGGAGTGAGCCGGCCGGGTATCGAACCCCGGACCATGTTCATGGTCGGCGGGCGTCCTAACCGCTGTGCCACCGACGCTTTTAAAGAGCTTAGTGAAAGTTATTCCAAAGTATATAACTGTGAAATATTCAGAAAATGAAAGCTACCTGTACAAAATGAGCTACTGCCTAGGGATTTGTAACAGAATCTCAACTAAAATGTTCTACTTTACAATGTGGCGTGTGCTTCGGACAAGATTTATGAGGTGTAGACTGGTTGGAAGTGGCGAAAAATTGAAATCAACATTTAAAGTCAGTGGATAGCTAAAGAAGCAGAAGTGTTTATTCCTCGAATCTGGATTTATTTTACGTTGTGGTCTGGAAACAATTTCATTGGACAACTTTTCGTCCCTCTGTTTCCCCCTGGACCAGTGAACAACCGATTGGAACAGTCCACTGTCTTCTGACCTAGCTGTTCTTTAATTTTTTAAAATGCATATATAAGATGCAGTTTTCCTTAATAAAAAACTTCGTTACCACTTCTATTATTTTCTGCCGTTACAAAAACACTTGTCAATAAGGTATATATGCGTCGGTGGCACAGCGGTTCGGACTCCCACCGACCATGAACATGGTCCGGGTTTGATACCCTGCCAATGAACACCTGATATCAATGGTCGGCCTACAAAATTTGCGCTACCGACATCACATGCTGAGAATTCCATACTTGTACCAAAAAATACTGTGTGGAATCAAGCTATAATGAAAAAAAATCTGTAATCTCAGAAGACGGCAAACACACAAAGATATTTAGTACAGAAAAAAGGGATCATCCAATGTCAAAATTCAATGGGCTACAAGCGAATTATTGTTAGATGCTTCGAGGTGATCAGTAGGAAGCTGTGAACCAGCGTATTGCGCACCCTGTGACTCGTCAGGTAGTTTTACCTATAATCTCAGAGATAATTAAATTCTGAGTAATTGCAATACATCCTTATCGATAGGGAACTTGATGGTGAAAAGGTCAACCCGAAATCCTGTGATCCCTGTGCACTGCTACAGAGCACTTAACTGCAGAGAAGTGGTTGAAATTTATGGCAATATGGAGAAAGCTTGCATTTAGACATTTCGAAGACTAAAATCAGGAGGTCTCAGAAAAGAATTTTCTTTTCAATAGCATCCCCAAATGGTTCTACAGATATATATATATATATATATACATATAGAATAATTCTTGTTTACAATATTGGCGTTTTTCTCAAATAGTGTCGAGTTGTTAAGGTCAGAAGAATTACAGTTCAAAAATCATGTGTATGTGATAAAATGCACAATCTAATAAGTACCTAGACTTTAATTCATCCCACCCAGAATCGGGTGCTTTGGTAGCATAGCAGTAGAATGCTCACTAACCAAGTAGGTGGTTCAGGGTTCGGTCCCCGATCACAAACGCACTCCTCCTTCACCTCGCTAAGCGATTATTAAGACTGGTAAAGAGATAAGGTAGGGTATGTATATATATATATCCTGTAAAAAATAAACACCACTGCTACCAAAATTTCATAGCTCTGGCCTAAAGGCCAATGTTCCACTGGGAATACAAAGGATAAAATAATAAATCCAGATTCAGTAAAGAAAGGTTTATTGAAATATCTATATAATCAGGCCAGGAACCTAACTATTAAGCAAGAAGATTTAAATAATGAAATCGAACAAATAAAGCAAATATTACTGGTAAATCACTCACTATACACCAGGATTTATTCAAAAATATATGAAAAACCATAGAATAAGTGAGATTAGTAATAAAAATGACGAAAAGAATGGAAATAATATAGAAATTAAAGCCTCTGTAGTATTGTAACAACAGAAGACAAGGGCCAGGCAACAGATCGTTTATTAAGGAAATCAACACATATTTATAGATTTTCATGTACATTATTATGGATTATCGTTAGCAGAAAAACACAGTCTTCTGATTGGTTGTTTTTCACAGAAAGTTAACCTTGCATCTCTTTGTGGCTGTTTCTTGAATGTCAGATCACCTATATGTTAACTGTATCCGCCTACGCAAAGTCTTTGTTCTCATTTTTCTCACCACCAATATTTGGGACATAAACATTGACGTAAATTATTGTCCACCAATTTTGACTAACAGCCAGCTCTCACCACAATACTACCGAATAAAGAAGGAAAGTCAGAGGTCTTACGTAGGATTCTCAGTGGAGCTGGAATTATGGTGGCGTCTAAACCAACCAACCAACCAACCAACTCTCTCAGAGATAAAACTCGTCGACTTAATGAAACGCCATCCGCTTAGATCAATTAAGAAAAATAATGTTACTTACCAGATACCATGTAATGGTTGTTTGTGAGGTCAATTACATGAGTCAGACTAATAGATTAGCGTCAGCTAGATTATTGGAACGTAAAAACTTAACTAGACCTAGAATAATTGACCTTACTAAGTTAAATAACCTAGAAAAGACAGAGTTCAGCCAATGCACTGCAATCACTTGCACGTAATCACGAAATAGAGTGGGTGGGACAGAATGGGAGTATTAAAACCTAATACAGTTAGGTGGGAGAGAGGTTGATCACTGAAGCTTTGTTTATCAATTCAACACAACACAACACACGCGTGCAATCGGAATGATGCAACGCCAATCTATACCGGAGATATGGAAAGTGGTAGCTGAAGAGAGAGAAGGAGAGAATTTATATGCAAGACTAAACTGTTAGACCCGACCGAAAGCTGCTACCTTGACGTGGTGGTCGGACTTGAACACCGCAATGACCTAATCAAGCTATACTGGCTGAGACTTATGTCTCTTGAGGTTCTACCATGCCAGGCAGGTTGTTTGGATAGCGGTTAAACAAAAAGCAGCTACCCCATCCAATACCATGATTCAAAAAATTCACGAAATTTCATGCTGGATCGGCCATGGCCCGGATTAACAACGACCGCGCTTCCTGCTGCCGTGTCACAGGGCAGGAGTGATAAGTATGCTACTGAGACACACCAAACAAAAGAGAACAAACAAAAACAGGCCGCGTGTGACCGGCCTCAAGCAGTTGTCCCTGGGCTCTGCGGTCACGCAACCAACTTCCACGGTGTGGGCAGCCGGGAAGTAACAAACGCCCTCACAATCCGAAATGCACGGACAGAAACTGTTAGACCATATAACTAAAATGATATGATTATGAACAGCAATAATTTGTGCTTTAAACGCTGCCATCCAGTTATTAATACTGCATCACTGTGTGATATTTAAAATGAACTAATCTACTATAGAACATGCATAAGGTGTGCTGGAAATGTCATCGTTAAACAATACAGTATCACTCACTGTGTGATTTTATCAAGTAAATTTACTCTATCAATTCATGTTAAAAGTCTTCTTTGAAGCCCCAAGTTCCTAAACTAATCAGACCCTTAGAGAGAGAGAGAGAGTGAACTTTTAAGCCATACAGTTTATATGTTTCACATAAATTGTTCTATAGATTGTAGACCACTGGCTGCAGGGAAAGAATTGTGTTAGAGAATTCAAATACAGGCTCTTCTCATGAATGTAGGTGAAAAGAATATCAAATGTATTATTGTTATTGTTTCACTGGGCTCCAAGGGAAACACAGAGCTTCAGCAGCACATCTCTATTTCACTCTGTCCCCCCCCCGCAGGTCCTCTTTAGCTCACCTCACGGTTGCCCATAGGCTCTCATCTCCTCCTCCTCACACGACCTCATCCATTTCATCCTCGGAACGAGGTCCAAAGCGTCGTTTCCCTTTCGAGTTACACTCAAGTGCTAACCAGGCGCACAATCTAACTCAACAGTCTCCTCAGCATGTGCACAATCCATCTACATTTCTTCCTATATACTTATTGACCAAAAGGTTACTGGCTGATTTATTCCCCATAGTTTCTCGTCGCTAATTCTTTCATGGCCAGCAGCCATGATGGAGCATTTACTCTCTTTAGACAGTGCCATTGACAGTCACTTCTTTGACACGGATGGTGAGGTGGGCGTCTCAAGATCACCCAAAATTATCAATATGCAAAGGAGTTTGATTCTACTCAAGTTTGTCAAAGCAATCTCCACCAAGCTGCTGAAACGCGATTCCGGCTTTTAGAAAGAAGTAGTTACCAGTCTTTCCTTACCCTAGTGACTGGATATTTTCATCCTCTCTTTCATATCATTGCATAACGCCGAAAGTTTCGAAATAGTGTTTAATATTATATAATATATATATATATATATATATTTTATATATAAATATATATATATATATATAATTACTTAGTGCATATATCGACTGGTTGATTTTTGCATGAAGGATTTCATAATGAGCTGACATTGGTTAAAGAACCATTGGAAAACCCACCAGGGAGTACTGGACATCCGTTTCGTCAGCCTAGTTTGGGACTCCTCAGCGGTACGCATCCATCGGGTTTCGAACCCAAGACCTTCTGGCTACAAGGTGAGCTCGTACACCATTGAGCCGCTGGGACCCGATTCAATGGTTAGCCCGTGAATTCTAACTTCTGCCAATTCACGACATAGTGCGACCATTTCACAATGTCTTCTTCGATGAGTTACTGCCTCATCTTCAACCTGCTGTACCCTATTGGTAACGGCTTCCCACTAGAATCCTAGGTTGACTGCCTGAATAAGGCCAATCACTTTGATTGATTTTTATTCAAACATGAACTCCGTGCAAGTATGTTAAAATTGTTTCTGTAGATATACTTAATAATGACTTTGGCCTGTAAGCAGATAATGAGAAGCCAACGAAATAAGCAATGATAGTAGCATTTTATTCTGCACAAACCACACTGTTGTTCATGCTTTATTCTAATTCATTAAGAGGGATTAAATTTATGAAATGACTGATTTTAACATTAGTGTTAAAAATCTGGATTTCGTTCCTTATTCTCACTGTAGAAGATTTCCACACAAATTTCAAAGTGATATAATCTGCTTTGCCTTTCAAATCCTACCTGGTTTTGACACCCTCACCTGTACTGCCTCTAGTTTAACTAGCCGTTTCCTAAGCCCTGAAAAAAGAGGGTAGGCTGTGAGTGAGATCAGTGACACTACCCCAGAAAAATCAATCCTGTTGCTATAGTAACATCAAAGCACAGTATAAATATCAAATGTAAGCCTAAAATAAAATTTAAAAACAAAAAGTAGACTTACTAAGTAAACGATAAAGTTGACCAAAAAATTTCATAGCTCTCCATGGTCTCATTGTACTTTTCGACAGACAGATTTGACAACAATTGAAAAAGTAGAAACTGATTTCAGCAAAACAAATCTAGAAATATGATTGTAAAAAAATTTTTGAAATTGTAAACTATTTCGAATAAAATTGTTCAGTAATTGTTGGGTTATTATATTATTTATTCCTTTACGTTCCCACAAGGAACATAGAGCTTCAGTAGCGGTGGTTTTATTTTCATAGGGTAGGGTTGGTAGCCTCACGTCCAGTCTTCTCTCTCTCTATCCGGTCTAACTTCCAGCTTAGCCAGCCCTAGGAGTGCACTTGCTGGGAATTGAACCCTAAACACCAATTGCTAATAATTGTTAGTAGTGAGATTTTCACAAAGGTATTACTTAATACATATTGATTTTACCACAGTAACTAAAACTTCTAAGAAGAAGAAGAAGAAATGCATTCCCACAAGACTATGGATTAGTGTCAGCGAGCATAAAAGTCAAACAAATTAGGATTCCATTGTCGACTGACATCTGGTTTAGTACACTATAGGATCCTCAAGCGTTAGTTTCTAGGTATTTGCTTTGTTTCAAGCTTGGTCACGGATTGTTATCAGTTAGAGAACCACTGAAAACCTAAAGAGTAGTACTGGACAGTGGTCTCGTCCCGCTTTGGGACTTTTCAGCAGCAGGCCGTCAATGGAATTAGAACATACGACTTTCCAGCTACACGGTACGCAGTCTAATAGCTCATGAATTCCAACCTCTACTGTTTTGTGATTTTAGCTCGACCATTAGAATGAAACTGAACGAAACAACTGTCCAGTACTTGCTGACTTTCAATGGTGCTCTAACTGATATCACTACGTGGTCAAACCTGGAACACTACAGAACTGTTTGACTTAGATTAGTGCGGTCAGCATAGTACAGTTTCACTTAAGGGTATCAGTTAGCATCTGGAACTTTTTTCTGTAATGTTCTTCCATTCTCATTGACAGTCTTTCAAGTCATTCTAAGTTCCATAAAAGTAGTTGGAGATTATATAAAACGATCAGTAATGCTTGAAAATCAGATCAAATAGATCTAAATAAGGGAAATCAATTCCGGTTATTAGTGGAAAGAGAAGATGTGAGTTCATATTGAGATGTTTCACCTCTAAGTTGTTTACCGATTCTGGAATAACTATTGCCGTATTAGATGGTTTGAGGCCATCGACCACAGAAAGCCCTACATGACCTAGGTTTTGTGTTAGTTGGCACTCACCAGTCAGTCAGCAAGGCGTATCTGCAACTACCTTGAAGGAACTCATGTCCCTTCTGAAATTTGAACCTGCATCACCCAGTGCTGCAGTCAGTCAGAGACGTTACCACTGAGATATTCGGGCTCGCGATTGACCTCCTGTAGGACTGACTGTATTGGATATTTTTAATTGGACATTAGTCAGTTACTAGTATAATGTGTGTGTGTGTGTCTATTCCTATCTTCGGTGCAGACTGAGGTCTATCAGTCAAGCTTGCAATGTGGCCCCCATGCCACTAGGTGGCTAGCAGTCAAAGTGCCCTGTGGATTAATTGGTATTAGGTGGTTGAAGGCAATCAGCAACTAACTATATTAATCAGTATTATTATACATTTTTATCCTAGACTGTAAATGACAGATCTCATGTTTAAATATCATTTGTTGACTTAATCATCATTATTTGTCTTCATTCTCATTGAATCTCGAATTTGAATACTTCTCTTAGTTTGTCACTGACAATTAAAATAATCTTTGACCTCTGTTTTCACACTACACTGTACAGCTTTCAAGTGAACCTATGAAGACATATCTCCTTGCTGACTCATGTATTCTTAAAAATGCAGGCGAAAATGAAGATCCGTTGGATATACGTTGAAAAAACAGTTGAATGACATCACATACCAAGTTGGCACGTGAAACCTGAGTGGAAATAGGTAAAAGCGACTGGAGAGAACCAATTGCAATGAGATTATGTGCCGTTCAGGGCCTCTTTGCGTCAGTGGCACAGCGGTTAGAACTCTCGCCAGTCATGCACATGGTGCGGGGTTCGGTCTCCTGCTGACGCACACTTGATATCAATGGTCGGCCTGCAAAATTTGGGCTACCAATATCACGTGCTGAAAGTTCCATACTTGTATCAAAATTACAGTATCGAATCAAACTATAATAAAAAATATAAATAAACAAATAAAATACATATTATGATTGTTTCCTTTAGTTTCTAGAGGAACATGACGCTTCAGCCGCACGTCTACATTGCGTTCGGTTCTCTGCCAACGTTTTCACCGAGCTCCGAGTCTGCCCACATGCTTTCATCTCCTCTTCACACCACCTCCTCCATGTCATCGTCCAACTGACAACAAACTCACTGCTTCCTATTCGAGTTTCACTCGAGAGATGGCCTGTCATGTGGTGTCACTTGATGGTGGTTTGTTTTCTCAGAGTATGGCCAACCCACCTCCATTTCTTCCTCCATATTCGTTGCACAGTTAGTTACTCCTGGGTTGGTTCACTCCCAGAGATCCCTCTCTATTCCTGGTCTTTTCTGACTGACCACCTGATCTTGAGTAGTTTAGAGCGAAGATAGCTGTTGATGAAGGTCTGTAGTTCGTTCAAAGTGCTCTTCATTTCGCGCATTGCAAGTCTCTGATGCGTACGTATATTGAGTAGCACTAACTTCACATTGGAGTTGAAAATCCGGTCAGATCTTATTTTCATTTTCATTAGGATGAGTACTGCTGACTTCAACAGAGACTTGAGAGTAATGAAAGCTTGCCTTGCCTTCCCAAACCTTGCTTTGATATCCTCGTCAGTTCCGTCCGCCTGTAGTTGAAACAGCGATGCTTCCATGGTAGGTAGGTAGTTAGGTAGGTAGGTAAAGGAGGTTGCTTCTCTTAGATTTCTGCCATTCATTCTGGCTGATTGTTGTCTGTTGTTGATGCTGGTGCTGTCGCTGTTGACCAGGAATCTTCATCTCCTACCTCTGTTTTCTCTATGTTCACCTGAAGGAAGTCCTATCTTCTCTGGATGCTTCTTCAATCACCAACTTGTTGCTTTTCACTTGCATATCTTCCGGTTTGTTGGAAATCAGACACATATCATCGGCGAAATCCTCATCCACCCAGATCCTCCAATTTTTTTGTGTGTCTATTTTATGCCTGTTTCCTCGTTGCCCGCTAACTACATGTCGCATTATCCAGTCTACCGTAATCAGGGAAATCATTGGAGATATTAGAAAGCTAGCCAGTTTGTCTTACTACCGTCTTCACTTCTTCGAAGAATTCCATGAGTTCCCCATTGTGGATTACTCGACATGCAGTATTGTCGTACGACTGTTGGATAAGATGTACAATTGTTGAAAATATATTTACTCCACTCAGAATGCAAACAGTGAACAATAATGATAAGAATAACACCTGGAGGTACTTACCACTATTATAGGTATGATTATCGATCCCGTGACTATTGAACTAACAGTCAGATGACGATAAATATCAGTTTGTGACTGTGATAATTGTAACCATTGATCATTTCGAAAATGTCTTTGATTAAATTCTTTATCAGTTGGATAATTGCGACCATGCAACTGGACAGTATCACTTGGTCCGTATAAATGTTGTTCAGCTGATGGGATGATTAGCTTCGGTGGAAGCATTAAGCCTAAATCTCCATCCCAGTAGTCAGGATTAACACGATTCACCTCAGCACTCCGTTCCATTTGATATCTTGTCAACAACGATAATGGATTCGGTGAAGTTAGCGCTGGAAAGGAGGATGCAGCCGGTTGTCTATTCATGATATTAATACGTTCCAATAAAGGTTTAAGATCAGTGTTCGAATCAACGCCACCTGAACTGCTGCCACCAACACCAATACCACTGTTGAAACTTTCACTATTCAAACTATCTGTATAACCAGGTGGAAGATCTGGGCATTGAAATTTTCTTTGATATAAAGGTATCCAGTCTGCCCATCTGAAATTCAGAGAAAAAAAGAAGAAAAGTCGCCAACATTAAATAATTCGGAGAGTAGATTATAATCTCACCATCCCGCGAATATTTCTTCTATTGGTCAACAGAACTGAGTACTTCCACTCTCTTCAGTATAATCATCAGAACAGTATTTTGTAGGTTATTTGAAGAAACTCACCATCTATGGCCTCCCATTATTTTATTATTATTGTTCCCTTGGGTTCCTAGTGGAACATAGGGCTTCAAATGCACGTCTCCACTTGACACTTCTGTCTTCTGCTGTGCTTTTCACCTAAATCCATGTTAGTCCATACGGTTTATCAACTCCTCTTCACACGATCTCCTCCATGTCACCCTCGCATTGACGTCCCACTCGCCGCTTCCCATTCTGTCGTGTTCCACTCGAGGGCTTGACGCGCGATGTCACCCAGTGGCCTCCTTAGCCAGTGTCCACTGAATGTCTCAACTTTCTCCTCCATATTTGTCGGCCGGCGATTGGTTCTTGTTTTGTTTTGTTTGTTCCCATAGTTTGTCCTTTTTGGTGATTCTTTCCGGACCGGTCATCTGATCTTCAGTATAGAGCCAGTGAAGATAGTTGTTGGTTGATAAAGATCTGCAACAGGCTGTTGGAAATATTTCTTGTGACCCGCCCGCCAACTTTCTGATCCGTTCTGTATAGAAGAACTGACTGACTTGACGTTGTTTCTATTGAAAATCCGACCGAATTTCGTTGTTGATGCTGGCTGAGTGACGAAGATTTCCAGATTGGTTTTAGGTTGATGAAAGTGTTTCTCGCTCGCCTTCTCGATTCTCACTCGATTTGACATCCTCGTCCGTTCCGACTGCGTGTAGTTAAGACAATGCTCCTTAGATAAGTGAAGTGAATGAAGTAACCTCTTTCAAATCCCTCCTGTTGTTGATGGTGATTGGCGCTGGATGTTGCTGCTGCTGTTGTTGTTGATGGTTGGTTATTTTCATAACCTCCGTCATGTCTATGTCCACCTGAACCTTCCATGCCCTTCCATAGTTCTTTAAAATAGTGAATATTTTACCAGGTAATATAAAACGTATTTTTCAGAATCCAGTCTATCCCCTTTTTCTATTAGGCGTTGAAATTGAGGTAATCCGAGTCTCATGTATATACCATAAAAATACGAAATAAGTGAGGAATAGGAAAGGTTGGATGGTCTTAATTGGTTCATTAGATCTAATTAAGTCAAAGGAAAGACAATAGTAGAACAAACTTCTTCTTCTCTTTCGTACAAATACTATGATTGTTCTCTTGAACCCGCATAGCTTCGGCTAGGTGAGATAGAAAGGTAAATTACCTTGAGGGTACTTTCTCTGTCCACTTGGTGAACATTGCCAACCAAATGGCCTTTTCCTTCCTGATCATGAAAAACCAGCGAGTATTAGACAGCTCTTTCCTCCTTGTATGTTACTGTAATAGCATGCACCTGAGATCGCACCAGGGACTTACCATAGGCCTTCAGGTGACGAGATTGGATTGTTGACTGTTCCTCTAGTTCGGCTGGAATCCAAACACCATGGAAATTTAACTTCTGTCAACTTTTGAGATAGCGCTACTGATAACCGATGTCTTCGAAGCATACACAAGTCATCACGGGATGGTGAAGCCTAATCACCATGAATTTTCAGTACAATTTCGCGATATCCATTCAGTAGGCATTAAGGAGATGGACATTGATATTCATCTTAAGGGGTTTTGTACTTATTTCCATTCAATATAAATGTAGATTTCCACCATAATTAGGGATGTCATCACCAGTGATGATAGACAGCCTGCCTTGTCTTACTTTTGTATTCACTTCAAACACATTGCTGACTTTTCTGTTGTAGATCACTTGACACGTGGCACTGTTTCAACTACAGGTGGATGAAATTGACGAGTATATCAAAGCAAGGATAGGAAAAGCAAGACAAGCTTTCATTACTCTCAAGTCTGTGTGGAAGTCAACAGCACTCATCATCATGAAAATGAAAATAAGATCTGGCCGGATTTTCAACTCCAATGTGAAGTCAGTGCTACTCAATATACGTACGGATCAGAGACCTGGCGCATCATAAAGAGCGCCTCAAACAAACTACAGACCTTCATCAACAGCTATCTTCGCTCAAAACTACTCAAGATCACGTGGTCGGTCAGAAAAGATCAGCAATATAGAGGGATCTTTGGGAGTGAACCAACCCAGGAGTAACTAACTGTGCAATGAATATGGAGGAAGAAATGGAGGTGGGTTGGCCATACTCTGAGAAAACAAACCACCATCAAGTGACATCACATGACAGGCCATCTCTCGAGTGAAACTCGAATAGGAAGCAGTGAGTCGGTTGTCAGTGGGACGTTGACATGAAGGAGGTGATGTGAAGAGGAGATAAAAGCATATGGGTAGACGTGGAGCCCGATAAAAACGTTGGCAAAGAGCCGAACGCAATGTAGACGTGCGGCTGAAGCCTCATGTTTCTCCAGGAACTAAAAGAAACAATAATAAATAACGCTGAGAATATTCTACTTGAAGTTCAGACACTTCTTATGAGTTGAATTTGATTTGATAGTTCTGTTGTATATAGCTTGTTTTGTCCTGAAGAAACGACTTTATGTGTATAGCTTCCTAAGGTCATTACTGAGACAATTTTGAGTTTTTGATATGCTATTGTGATGAGAGCTGCATACTAGCTGAAATTGGTGGACAGTATTTTACGTCAAGGTTTATGTCCCCAACATTAGTCGTCAGAAAAATATGAACAAAGACTGATTCAACAACCAACCACAGCAGATTTTGCGTAGGCGCATACAGTTAGCATATAGATGATCTGACATTCAAGAAACAGCCACAAAGAGATGCAAGGCCAACTTTCAGGGAGAAACAATCAATCAGAAGACTGTGTTTTTCTGCTAACAATAATCTATAATATGTACATGAAAATCTCTATGTGTGTTGATTTCCTTAATAAACGATCTGTCGCCTGTCTGGCCCTTGTCTTCTGTTGTTACACTATAATTGTTAAGTAATACGTCAGATTTTATCTGAAATAGCTATCTTTTCACTATCATCGAGATATTTTATTTTTTCGCATAACTCTGGGAAGTTCAAATCAGCTACATAATAGGATGTAAACGTTAGTTTCCTTGATTTAGGCGACATTAAGTGGGATTTCGTCGTTACATGCAACTTAAGTCAATCATTACAAGGTATCGCCTAGTTCAAATATTCTAACCTAGAGTAATTTCAGTTTCCAAGGAAATTTTCTGATATAAATCCACCTTGAACTGTATGAATTGTGAATCAATTGAAAATTTGTAATTCGATTCATTGATGCATGGATTTATTGATATTGTATCTGACTACTTGATACCAATAGATGAGAGTAAAGTGAGTAGAATCTGAGTGGGAAAATAACGATTTCACCGTCCTAAATGGACCTGAAATTGATCGTGTGAGGAAAAGATGAGAAGCTTGTGAGAAAAGTCGAAGAGTCTGCTAGAAAACAAAACTTGCATAGAACAAGGTGAAATGAAGAGATAGGCGCTGATCAAGCCACATGTTTCACATTAGAACCCAAAGGGAATAATAACAATAATACGGATGACAATTATTTTCTTTACAAAATATACTCAATTTTCACTCTTTTTAAAGGGAAAAAAACCCTTCTAAGGTCGCATCGATTACTTTTCCACTCGATTTGATTAGATTATTAGTTCATCATTACGAGTTAATACTCTTAAATTAGTCGTCAACTCATTTGCGCATTCAAGCAGTCATTATCTATAGGCATAGAATAACACACACACACACGCAGGCACCAGAGCAGAGATTCGATCATTTGTTATCAAGTTGAACTACTATCTACTTGTGATTACATCAATTCAAAAAAATAAATAAATAAATCAGTTGAATTACTACTATACAAGCATACACAATCCGCTTAAGACACATCGGAATACATGATTACTTATGGCTAAAAATATACACCAATAGTAACCCATGTATATATAATAGGCCAATTATATGATTGAATCAGTCAGGCGGGCAGACAGGAAGGAAGTAAAAATCGATAAACATCAATAATAATAAATATACTACATTTCATAGAGTGTAGTTGCTTTTCTGTATACTTGAGAAAAGCAGTCGCCTTGTCAATTGAACCACTGGCTACAGGATGAAGAATACGTTCAGTGTTGATTTTTTCTTGAGTATCGCAAGGGTTCTTTCTTCAGACGAAATGTTTGGAGATATATCTTTCGCAAAATTTTTCTATACACCTTCCTGTTTAACACAGAATACTACTCTATGAATCGATCTACAGATATCCCCTATTAATTGAAGGTCAGTGTTCAGATTTTAACTACTAACTAAATTAGAAAAGTATTGAAAAAGACCACTCAAGTGTAAGTGGCTAACTCTGTGAACTTATGATACAATTACTTCTCGTATGCATATTTCAACGGTGGTGATCGATATCCAGACTGAAAATCAACCAATCAGATTTGGCCTACGTAAAATAAAGCCAGTGACATATCAATATATGTGTAAACCTTGGGCACTGTTGTAGTTAGTAATTCCATATTAGTTTGTTTATTAAATGCATCACACAGTGAGTGTAACAGTATTATTTACTGGATGACGAGGTTTCGAACAAAATTTATTCTTCATAATCACATCAATTTTAACACCAGACAACTTCGACACTTGAGTTTTATAGTTTTCTTTTCTCTGGTGAGTAGTTCATCGAGGAATGAAAATGAGTTGTTCGATTCGCGTCCTAAGGTGAATCTTATTGATGGATGCTCTGCGTTGAAGGTTTTGAGGAGAAAATCTAAATCAAATTTTTCATCACAGATTATAAACATATCATCTACCTATCTCTTTTATAAATGCAGTTGACTTATCAAGGGATCAAGGATGTTGTTTTCGAAACTCGCCATGAAACAGTCGGCTATTAGTGGACCGAGGGGAGACCCTATGTCTACTCCATCTTTCTGATCATAGAATTGTTCATTGAATTTGAACTGGGTATTGAACGTACATCTGAGAAGAAATTCCTTCAGGTGGTTTATGGGGAGAGGAACTTCTAGGTTGTTAGTTTCGATGTAATTACAAATGAAGCATATTGTTTCGGTTAGAGAGATACTTGTGAATAGAGAGGCGATATCTAGTGAGATCATTTGTCTTTTAGACACGTTGACATCCTTCACTGAGTCGATGAAGTCAAATGTATCTCTGAAGCTATATTTTGTCATATGTCTTTTAAGTGGTTCGAGGATATCAGCTAGCTACTTCGTGATTTGGTGGCTACCCGAACATAAGAACAAATCATAATCTAGATTGGTTGACCCAAATAAGATAAGAAATCTAGAGAATAGTTCAGCTAACACACTCACTACATGCAGTTACACATAACCATACAATAGGATGGGATAGGATGACAGTTATAAAGTCTAATGTCCCAGAGTAGAGGGAGAGATTGGTGACAGTGGAAGCTTTGTTTGTCGAATCAGCTGCAAATCAACACGTGTAATAAGAATGATTCATCACCTGCCCACCCAGATATCTGGAAAATTCTACTACCCCAACGACGACAAATAGGAGAAGACAAAGAAAACTATAAAACCCAAGTTTCAAAGTCGTATGATTACAATTGATATGATTATGAACATTAGTTAATTTTCTTCGAAACCTCGTCATCCAGTAAGTGATACTGTTTCTTCACTATGTGATATATCTAATAAAGAAACTAATATGGAATTAAGTGGCATATCCTTAGAGATTTTTTTAATCATACGTTACATTCCATCTCGTCTTCAGTGGGGTCTCGATTAAGTTGTGGGCCTCTCTCGTCCATGTCTTTACTGCTTTATGCTGGGATAATATATAATTCTGTATAACCTGAACCCCTGCAAACTGATACTTGTGAACATTCTGTATATAATAAGCATTGTAGGAGCTGTTTCTAGCCACACTCGATGACAGTATACACCCTGTATGCACGCCATCATTCTGTCAGCCATAGACGTATACAAGAGGTTTGTGGGTTTTTATTACCTCCAGGCTGCCCGGGGGATAAAAGCTTGAAGCTGACCACACACGGCATGTTTCAAGTGGATTTTTGAGTTGTCTTAAAATGAAGGAAGACGTTACCGCCGGCTACAAAATGACGTAGAATAAGGCGTGATATACAGTACTGGGAGTTGAGCCTTTCTAACTCCTCCTTCAGAAAGGAGATGCAACATAGCTGGCTCACTGGTCATCCGTAATCTTTAACTAGGAATATTAAATCCATATTCTATCACCTAAATTGTGTCCTTAAACTGACGTCCTTCATCAATAAACCAATAACAAATCAATTACAAATCAATAACAAATCATTATTACTGATACCATAGCAAAGTCATACAAATATATGAAATAGGAACTCACAACGTCACACAAATCGATCTGATTCTAGGATCTGTGTACAACCAGCCATCAGCAGAACAACTGTAAAATAGAAAAAAATAGAGAAGAGAATTATTTTACTTTCTTTTTTCTAAAGATATTTAATAAATCTTTTTCTTCATACATTTGATTCCCATGAAAAACGTTTCACATCTGAGTTATTGATTTGCGTGAATTTAAATGATTGTAACTAACTGATATCTCACTTCGACAACTGTTGATAACTAGAAACCAGTGAACATGTGTTTCATCACAGTTTGGGACTCTTCATCAACACGTGTAACAACAGAAGACAAGGGTCAGACAACAGATCGTTTATCAAGGAAATCAACACGTATTTATATATTTTCATGTACATTAATTATAGCTTATTCAAGCAAACAAACAGTCTTCTGATTGGTTGTTTCTCACAGAAAGATGGCCTTGCATCTCTTTGTGACTGTTTCTTGAACGTCAGGTCATCTATATGTTAACTGTATCCGCCTACGCAAAGTCTACTGTGATTGGTTGTTGAATCAGTCCTGTTCATATTTTCTCACGACCAATATTTGCGACATACATACTGACGTAAATTACTGTCTACCACTTCTGGCTAGCAGCCACCTCCCACCACACACGTACTTGTCGTAATGTAGATGAGTATCGAACTCAGCACCTTTATGGTTATTGTTATGTCCAGAACTACGACCTAGTAGACTCTAAGCGTATACTAACTTAATGTGCTGTCTAACCTGTCCTAATCGTAAGTCAACAACAACCATAATAACACCACCGTCATGCAAAGGCAAAAGAAAAAGCTGGATGTCGATAAGACAGCCTTTACTGTATCAAACAACAGTTGAAATGCTAGGCGAAGACTCCGAATGTATATACAGTCTGAACAACCTTAAAAATTTAGTATTAACAGACAATCGTAATCCAGCAACCCAAACAGAGAAAACACGGCCCAAGCCAGTGGCCGATAACTCCTTAAAATGGTCATTTTAAGGTTTTAAAAAAAATTAAGCAAAACTAGGTGTGTATAACAGTTATGAAATGAAAAAGTCAACATTCTGCCAACGATCTATGAATTATAAATTTTTACGACAGCCAGGTAGGAGTAAAAGTACATGAATGCCTACTGTTGAAGAGTCGCATACACGAATGAAACGTTTTTCCAGTACTCCCTACTCTTCAGTGGTTACCTAACTGATATCACTTATTGATGTAATCAAAGGAAAGAAAATCATGACATTCTAACTATTCATGCATAGTTACAGAAATCGGTTAATAACAAAATTGTTTTCAAGAGTTACTTTGTAAGAATTTGATTTGAAGCTTGACCACGGATCGATATTAGTTAAAGAACCATTGACAACCACCAAGGAGTATTGGACAGCTATTTCGTCCTTGTTTAGGATTTATTGGCACAAACTGTCCATTAGATTCGGTCCCAGTAGCTGAATGGTCAACGATCTTAACTTGTAACCGCTAGGTCATGGGTTCGATGAATCGCATTAGGTGTGTAATGCTGATGAGTCTCAAAGGACGAAAGAGTTATCCACCACTCACTCTGGTGGTTTTGCAATGGTTCTATAACTGAATTCAACCCATGGTAAAACTTGAACATTGTTACAATTTTCGTGAATTGATAATGTCAGTTAGAGGAACACTATTTTCGGACCACGGATCTACTTGGAATATATATATATATATATATATGTTAAAGTTCAAATTAACGTTTGAAAATTTGTTACAATTTTTTGAACCAAATTATACGTGATCTATCGTGTTTCCATACAATGAACAACACGCATAACATGTACACACATAGTTACACTATGTAATTCTGACAACATGGCAATAACAAAAACAAGTATTTATATGATGACCATTCACATTTCTGATTAGTATGTCCTATACATATTCACCCTACACGTGACCTGCATACAAGTTCGTTTTATCCTATACATTATTAAACAACAATATATATATATATATATTCTTTAACAAAACTCGAAATAGTTCTGTTGAAGAAGCCGTGGCCTACAAGACGAAATTGTTGTCAATAGAATATTATTATTATTATTTCCTTTAATTCCTTGAGGAAAATAGGGCTTCAGCCGCGCGCCTACATTGCGTTCGGTTCTCCGACAACCTTTTCACCTGGATCCACGTCTGCCCAAATGCTTTCATCTCCCCTTCACATCACTTCCTCCATGTCACCCTCTCACTGACGACCAACTCACCGCTTCCTATTCGGGTTCCACTCGGACGATGGCCTGGTGTGTGATGTCACTTGATGGTGGTTTGTTTTTTCAGAGTAAGGCCAATCCACTTTCATTTCTTTATGCTTATTTGTTGCACAATCAGTTCCTGGTTGGTTGATTCTCTCTCAGAGATCCCTCTCTGTTGCTGATCTTTTCTGACCGGCCATCTGATCTTGAGTAGTATTGAGCAAATACAGCTGTTGATGAAGGTCTGTGGTTTGTTCGAGGTGCCCTTCGTGACGCGCCAAGTCTCCGTACCGTATGTATAGTAGGTGGCACTGACTGACTTCATATTGGAGTTGAAAACTTACATCTTATTTTCATTTTCATGATGAGGAGTGCTGTTGACCTCCACACAGACTTGAGAGTAATGAAAGCTTGCCTTGCTTTCCCGATCTTCGCTTTGATATCCTCGTCAGTTCCATCTGTCTGCAACTGAAACGATGCTTCCCAGGTAGGTAAAGGAGGTTGCTTTTCTCAGATTTCGCCCATTCATGCCGGCTGATTGTTGTTGATGCTGTTGCTGTCACTGTAGGCCAGGAATCTTCATCGCCTACCTCCATTTTCGCCATGTTCACCTGAAGGAAGTCCTATGCTTGATGCTTTTTCTTCCAACTTATTGCTTTTCACTTGCATAGCATCCAGTTTATGGGAAATCAGACATATATCATTGGCGAAATCCTGATCCATCCAGATCCTTTAATTTTTTTGTGTGAGTTTATTTTATGCCTGTTTCCTCGCTGCCCGCTAACTGTCTGTCGCATCATCCAGTCTAAAACAATCAGGAAAATCACTGGCAATAGTAGGCAGTCAGCCTTTTCTTACTCCGTCTTCTGTCAATAGATGGTTGGAAGTAATAGTTAGAAGTAATCGGCTGCAGGAAACCTAGGTCTACCTAGGTTTCGTCCTTGCTGGGACTCACCAGCCAGCAAGATGTATCTGTAATCTTGACGAAATTCATATCTCTTCTGAAATTCAAACCCGGATGGCGACTGCCACTGATCAGGAAACCTAGGTGGTTTAAAGCTTCCTGCCTATTTTACTTGTAACCATCTGACATCAATTCAGAGGGCATTTTGATGACGACTTGCCTCGTCGCATGATGGCCACAATATAAACTAGACTGATGAACTTCAGTCTGCAGTAAATAAAGGATTAGACGCATGACACTAGTCAATAACTACCTAGTATTCGATCAAAGTACAGAACGAAATGTTGATGAGAAATTTCATTTTGATTTTCTAAACCTGCTGGGATTACATCATAAATGAATGCACGGTGACTCAATCAGGTTTAGTGTCAAAATTATCTCAGGAAACCCGCAACCTCTATACAGTCTAGGCATTACTATACAGTCAACACAAGAAACAAGATTTGGATCTTTAACACTAATGCTGAGTTCGTACTTTTATGTGGTGGAGAGACTTGGTGAGGCATGAAAACAATTCCCGCACACAACTGGAGACTTATATCATCATTCACCCCTTTTCTGCCTCAATAGTGAAGATCAGATGGCCAGAAAGGGTTAGTTACACGGAACTATAGCAAGGAACCAACCATGAACTCTTTGCGCCATTAAAAATTTGCAGAAAGAAATGGAGATGGATTGGACCTCAGCTGAGAAGATCATTGAGTATGAAATCGCTCTCCAGATCATCTCTTCAGTGAAACCTTCATGGGATACAACGAGTTGGGAGATATATAGAAGTTCATATAAGATGAGACGAGAGCTTGTAGGTGATCGTAGAGTTAGCCAGCTAAAAAAGACTGAAAAGAACACTATGAAGTGTGGCCATCTACTGCTGAAGCCGTATATTTCACTCGGAACCTAAGGGAACAATAAGAATGTAAACATTATGTATAAATGGATGACGTTCTTAGCATAAGTCAGTTCTCATAATCACAAATGAAATCAATTCCTTCTATGACCAACAGTTCACTGTGTTTATTAGAGTGTGAAATTACACGGATAACTTCATCCATTTGTTCTTCATTGTCAACATTTATAAAGCTGATGTAATGTTAGTTTCGTTCCAAAGTTGTCCACATGGAACATAACAGCACATCTCCATTTCACCCCGTTGTTTATAGTCCTCCTTTGTGTCACTCTCGGATCCATGCCTATCTCGTTACTTCTCATTCAGGTTCTACTTGAGCGATAACCTGATGCACAATATCATTCGGCGATCTCCTAAGCGTGTGTCCAACCCATCTCCATTTTCTTCTACATATCTGTTAAGCAACAGGTTCTTGGCTGGTTCATTCCTAGAGTTCCATGTTGATAATTCTTTCATGGCCGGCCATCTCATCTTCAATACTGTTATCATTATTTTTACCTTTAATTCCTAGAGGAACATAGAGCTTCAGTCACGTTTTCATTGCGTTTGGCTTTCTGCCAACGTTTTCACCTCCCTCCACTTCTGCCGACATGCTTTCAACTCCTCTTTACATGACCTCCTCCAAGTCACCCTTGGACGACCAACTGATTCTCTGCTTCGCGTTCATGTTCCACTCGAGCGACGGCCTGGCGTGTGATTGATGTTACTTGATGACGGTTCGTTTTCTCAGAGTATGGCCAATCCACTTCCATTTCTTCATGCTTATTTGTTGTACAGCCGAGTTTTGGTTGGTTGGTTCGCTCAGAGACCCCTGTCTATTGTTGATTTTTTCTGGCGAGCCATCTGATCTTTAATAGCATTGAGCGAAGACAGCTGTTGATGAAAGTCTGTAGTTCGATCGAAGTACCTTTCATCACGCGCCAAGCCTATGATCCGTTTAGCAGCAGTGACTTCC